CTCTCTCTCTCTCTCTTTCTTTTTTTTTTTTTCCAAGACAGGGTTTCTCTGTGTAGCTTTGGAGCCTGTCCTGGAACTCACTTTGTAGCCCAGGTTGGCCTCAAACTCACAAAGATCCACCTGCCTCTGCCTCCTGAGTGCTGGGATTAAAGGCGTGCGCCACCACCTCCTGGCCTATGGCTCCTTTTCTATGCTCATTTCCTTTTTTATTGTTTTAGTATTCTTTGTGCCTTTACAGATTATTCAAGGTTCTTCTTTTATTCTTCCAGCCCCAAATTCTGAATGAACACTTTTCTTCAAGAAGTCCCAATTTTTGTTTTTTTTGTTTTGTTTTTGTTTTTAGTGTAGAGTAACACTTAGAAACTAAGATCTAGATGTTAGACTTCATTGCACTGACTGGATTGTCGTTACTCCGAGGCCTCTCACAATGAAAGCCAGTTTGTGTGTGTCAGCTTATCTCTACCTCTGTATCTAGTTTTGTAGTTCTTTTTCTGACATGGAACAAACATGTCATTATTCACGATCAATTTGCTTATTTGTTCAGTTCTAAAATACAGATAAGATCCTTTCACAGTTGCTAAGTCATACTCCTGTGTAAAATAAATATATTAACCAGAGCATAATATCTGCATATAATTCTTTTCCCTGTAGCCTGTACTATATACAGTTGAAACACTGTTTTCCAGGGTTGCTTAAATGAATTGTGTTCTTCACCCCTTAGCTTGTTGTAGTCATAATAATTGTTTGTTTGTTTTGTTTTTGTTTTTTAAGACAAGGTTTCTCTGTGTAGCTTTGGAGCCTTTCCTGGAACTCACTCTGTAGCCCAGGCTGGCCTCGAACTCACAGAGATCTGCCTGCCTCTGCCTTCTGAGTGCTGGGATTAAAGGTGTGTGCCACTGCACGGCATGATAGTAATTCTTAATGCAGTCCCCCTAGCTTGTTCCTGCTTGTATGTATGGCAAACAATATCATGGTTCTAAGAGTTAGTACTGCGTACAAGGTGTCATCAGAGAAATGCCGCTTTCTTCTTACCACTGTGACTCTGTTCCCATTCTCCCTCCTCTCCTTCTTACCTTCTCACTCATTCATTTTCAGGTTTTATTTACTGATTTTTCTTTTGAGACAGGTTCTTGCTAAGTAGCCCAGGCTGGCCTTGAACTAGCAGCCCTCCATCTCAGCCTTCTGAATTCTGGGATTATATGTGTGTGCCACCATTCCTGGCTTAGTATATTATTTTTAGGGCCCATCTACATTATAGCCTATGCCAGTACTTTATTCCATTTTTATGGCTTACCAATATCCTGGCGTATAGATATATCATCTTTTGTTTGTACATCAGTCTGTCACTAGACTGTAGATGCTGCTGCCCTCAACACTCACATACAAGCATTTTGTGAACATGAATTCACTTGTCTTAGGTATACATCCTAATAGTGTGTATAATTTACTAGGTCACATAGTAACTCTGTATTTAACTTTTTGAGGAACTGTCAAAATATTTCCCAAAGTGGATCATTTTACACTCCCACGAGTATTAGTGTTTCAGTTTCTTAACATTTTTTCCAATACTTGTGATTTATCTTTTCAAAAAAGTTATTATAGTCATCCTATTTGGTATAATGCTTTACCTTATTGTGGTTTTGGCTTGCATTTTTCTAATGATTTATGTCACTGAGGATTCTTTTTTTTGTGGCTTTTGGCCACTTATGCAACGTGTGTGTGTGTGTGTGTGTGTGTGTGTGTGTGTGTGTAGAAGTGTCTATTCAATCCTTGGTCCATTTGGAAAGCTTGATTATTTATTGCTTAGTTATTAGTTCTTTCCATAATCTGGGTATAAGTTCCTTATCTGATATGATTTGCAAATGTTTTCTCCTATTCTTTAAATTGTTCTTTTGATTGTCCTTTGATACATAAATGCTTTAAACTTTGAAGTCCACATGACCCATTATTTTCTTTTATTGCTTCTAGTTTGTCTTGCCTGATTCAACTTTAAAAATTTATGCTTTTATCCTTCTAGATGTTTTATTATTTTGTGTCTTATCTTTAGGCCTGTCATTTGTTTTGAGTTAAAATATGAATACGGTGTTAGGGAGAGTCCAGCTTTCCTCTTTGGCTTGGCATCACTTGTGGAAGACTACTTACAGAATTATCTTGAGGGCTGGAGAAATGGCTCAGTGGTTAAGAGCACTGGTTGCTCTTCCTGAGGACTGGGGTTCAATTTCCAGAACTCATATGACAGTTCAAACCCATCTGTGACTCCAGTTCCAGAGGATATGATGCCCTCTTCTGGCTTCTGTGGGCAATGCATGCCAGTAGTACAAACTCTCTCTCCTCTCTCTCTCTCTCTCTCTCTCTCTCTCTCTCTCTCTCTCTCTCTCTCTCTCTCTCTCTCATCATCTATCTGTATCTATATGGTATATATATGTATATAAAGAATTACCTTGAAGAGTCTGGTCACAAAATTGATTACTCAGAAATGCTAAGGAAGAACTAACTCTATTTATTTATTTATTTATTAAATTACACTCATGATATTAATCACAATTGTGGTATTCATAGATTACATTCGCAGTATTCATTCAATTATATATATTTATTATATATATTATAGATATTTATTACAATATATATATATTTAATTTTAAATGTCGAATGTCATTTCTTGAAGGGGGTAGGAGGTCTTAATTACAGGCTTACAGCACAATGGGAGAACCCTGGAGGGCAGAAGTTCGCTACTGATGTTTTACAATCTTGCATCTAAGCTGTTAACGCCCATTATTCAGGGTACACAGACAAGGAACTTCCCTTAGGCATTCAGGAGGGTGGAATCTGGCAGGGAATTAGCATTGGGAGGATATCAAGGTCAAGGTCCACAAGCAAGGCAACAGTTACCCAAAATGGGGTCCAGGGCCCTGCAGGTCCCCCTTTTATTAAAAAATGAGCTTCTGACTTGGGTTGCATGGGACGTCAGCAGGTCACCTTACCCGTCATGGAGACGCCTGCCCAGGCCACACAGGCGCTCTGTCTTAGGTTGGTGAGTGCCCCCCAGGAAGAACTAACTCTTAATTGCCAGCCCCCAGAACTGTGGGCCAACATACTTTTGTTTATTGGAAATTGCCATTATAAATTTACTATAAACAGTTATTCTGTTATGGTAGTCAATTCTTAAGACCATTATCCACTGGGAGATGAGTCTTTGCAGTATATCCTGCTGGTATTTTTTCATAGTTTGTTAGATGTCTTTTTGTTCTTTGTTTAAAATATTTTATTAGAAAATCCATTGACCTTTTGCTTCTCTGCCTCTGCTTTTGAGAAAACAGTACTTTTGAGGTTATTGTCTTATTTTCTTTTGGAATTTGTAGAGTATTTAACCCTAGATCTCTAATCCAGTTTTGGTTTTTTCCTTATGCATGTTGTTTCAACACTATTTATTAAAAAAACATGCCTGTCCCAGTGATTTGAGATGGCTTTAGATCTATTTTGTGCTTTCTTTTCTAGTCTACTGATCCCTTTGTATATTAAAGTACCAGTACTGCCTTGTTTGAACCAGAGGCTTTATAGTATGATTGAACGTCTGGAAGCCACACAATCTCCACCTATGCTCTTTTTTATTTTTAATTTTAAATTTTCGAATGCTTGGATTCCCTCATGAACTTTTATAAAGCTCACTGTTAACATGGGCCCACCAAACTTTCGCATTATCTTGTAAGGTTCTAAGATCCAGCTTGAGTTATGTAAAAGATTAAGACTTTATCCGCGGAAAAATTAATTCTGAAAAATCCACTAAGGGGATCCTGGGTGTTCGTGTGTGTGTGTGTGTGTGTGTGTGTGTGTGTGTGTGTGTGTGTGTGTGTGTGTGTGTGTAAATGCGTTTCTCTTCTCTATACCTGCTATAGTGTTGGTACCGTGCATTCCAAACACAGGAAGTACCCCAGGCCTCCACTTCCCAGTCAGAGGTCTGTGAAGACCTCTTACAGCAGGACCAAGTTCTAGTTATTCTACAGTGACTGACTGACGAATTCTGAGACAATAAACAGCAGGGTGCTTACTCTGAATTCTAAGTGCTCCAAAGGTAAGAGAACATCCTCTTCTAGGACTGGCCCATCATTCTCTTATCAATGGCTTGTGGGGTCCACCCGCTAAGGTACCCACTCAAATGGAGGAAGGTGCTTTTCAGTAGGAGGGAGTCTCTGGCCCTTTAACTTGTAAGAACCAGCACCTGGAGGTAGCAGGTCATTTCCTAATTGTTACCTCACTCTACCCAGCACAGGGTCGCAGTCCCTGGGCTGCAGCGCCGCTCCCCGTGGCCAGCACTAGGCCACCCAGCGCCACCTGCTGGAGGCAGCGTGTACCGCAGGCGCGGCAGGGAAGTGTGGGCCGGGCGAGCTCGGTTCTCCCGGAGTCGAAGGACCCGGCTGAGTCCTGGATGGAGCGGCATCTGCAGCCCCCATGGCCGGAGCTCCCAAATTCTGAGGCGAGTGTATGAGGCCCGCGTGCCTCGCGTCACAGACACTAGCGCTTTCAAAATCGGAGAAACCGGGTTCCTAATCTGCGCAGGCGCAGTCCCGGCGCGCACCCAGCCTCTCGGGCGCGCACCCGCGTTCTCGGGTGGGTGGGTGGCGTGTCCTCCCGGGATGCGTACGTCCACAAAGGGCGTACGTCTCCTCCAGAACGCGCAGTTGCGAGCATTGAGGCTCGCTCTGGCCCCTTGGGGGCGCACACTCCTCTAGTCCGCTCCTCTGAGCGCGGTGGTAGGTCGGTCTCCTGAAGTGGATTTGGTCATCCAGAATGAATTGTTTGTCCCATGATGAGGGAGACATTGTAGGCGCTTTAGATAGAGCATGGTGAGTTTAGATGACATACATTTAACACGAGGGATGAAAAAAATGATTTCCCCACCCCCTAAAGCAATAGAGAATCGAAAAGAGACAGCATACACAAATAACTGCCTTGCATCCAAAATAAGATAGGTGCCGACTTGGAAACCTAGGCAGGAGAGCTGGAACACTTTCTACAGGAAGATAATCAGGTGAGTTTACACGAGGAATTTGGGCTGGTGAAGGAAGGCAGAGTGAGAGAGCCTGGGAAAACACATCTGGGTTTAATCTGGCTTCTCTGTTTTTGCATTGACCTCAGTCTTGGACAGGTCTAATCTGTTCCCTTACCTGGATAATAGGTAAAATCACCTTGCAAGCCTATGGTGAGAGTTAAAGAGGAGTGTGAGGGTTGTAGGATGTAGGATATACAAACAGACCACCCCCTGTCCTGACTTAGTCAGGGTCTGGGGGTCCCCCATAGTCTCTGAAAGGAGCAAATTCCTTTTCCATTGTTTTCTTTTTCTTTTTGTTTTTTGCTAGGGATGGGAAACCAGGGCTGCAGGCATGCTGGGCTAGCTGCTCGATTGTCTAAGTTTACTATGTCAGAAACGTGAATGGACAAGTTTATGTCTTTCTACATGTCAGAATTTTATTATTATTATTATTATTATTATTATTATTATTATTACAATAAATTCACAAAGAATAGAGGGTTTTTTTTTAAGATTTATTTATTTATTATATATGCAGAAGAGGGCACCAGATCTCATTACAGATGGTTGTGAGCCACCATATGGTTGCTGGGAATTGAACTCAGGACCTCTGAAAGAGCAGTCAGTGCTCTTAACCTCTTAGCTATCTCTCCAGCCCCAAGAATAGAGGTTTTAATGGTAGCTATTTGGCAGATATTTCTGCTTTCCTTGGTAACCCTGGCTGAAGTGAACACAAGTTTTTTTTATTCCAATCTTACTTAGTAACATTGGCTCTCAGTTTCCTTATTACACAACACAGTAAATCTCTTTATGTATGTGAAGGTTACAGAATAACCACAAAGGGTTAAATAGTCAAGGGATAAGAGTCTGGAGAAGCCAAAGCAGGAAAGACAATAGGGACACAGGGTTTCTGTATTGATGAGGAACCTGAACTGAGTTGCAGAGAAGCTACTGTTGTCAGTCAGTACTGTTGTGAGCTACTACTGTGTGTCATGGATTTAAGAATGATGCTTAGAGTTGAATCTGGCTGCAGAGGTCGAAAGGCAAGGTAGATCCAGATGAAGGAATGGGCAGATGGATGGCAGGTGCAGACGGGAGAACAGGAAGATGGGCAGACGACAATTGAGTAGGCCATGTCAACAGTAAGGACCAAGCCAAGCTGAAGCCCTTGGGACAGTTGGGAGTTCTCTGCTTGCCAGTACTTGGTACACATACTGGGCTGTCAGATAACAGGTCATTGAGGATATCATCATTGCAGTTGTTAGTTTCTGCTGCCGCAGCAGCTGGCCTCTGCCGCCAAATCAGTTATGGCATCCCCTGTGTCCAGGTGCCTTTCCACTGTCAGCTATGGGACGTGTGCCCCCTCTTACAAGTGCCGGCCAGATACAGCTCGCTCTCTTGCCTCTCTTCTTCCTCTTGGCTCTTCCCTGTTCTCTGTCTGTCTGTCTGTCTGTCTGCCTGCCTCTCTCATGTCCCCACTCTGACATGGCCTTTTGTTCTTTCCCTCTCCCCGCCCACCTCCTTCAATAAACCTCTTGTACTAACTGTTGCACGTAGCATGTTTGCTTAGTGGCATACCTTGGTGGGGCCTGCCAAAGGTACCCACTTTTCCTTTCTTTTTTAAAATCAGCAGTGCTATATCTCTGCTTATTTATAGTCTGGATGAGGGAATTACACCCTTTCCTTATTCTACTATGTTCAGTAAGTTCTTGGGCCAAGTTTTCCTGATAAGATTTTTTTTTCCATCACAGGTAATTTATTTTGTTCTATTCATTCACAGTTAATACAGAAAATACTTGGAAACATTTCCATATAATGTTTGATACAGAAATCATCAAATAGAAGTATACAATGTTGACAGGAGACAGTACATTTATAATTTATAACCCCAAATGTATTTATAAATTAGAAATGGAAAGATCTACAAAT